TGAACGGCGGCCCCGAGCCTGCCCGGGCGCCTTCTCTCCCGTTCGCCCCAATTCTGCTTTACCCCAGTCTGCTTCGGATTGTTGTCTCCCGCACCCCACGTTCTCAGCCAGCGGGACCACGGTGGTGTGGACTGGGGGTGGAGCTGTTCCTTGTACCCACCGTCCCACCTGCCCCTCGAGCCCTCCCCCAGCAAGCGCGGAGAGATGAGAACTAACGACTAGAGACCCAGAAAAGGTGAGGTTTCCCCAGGCGCGGGGATCCTCAAAACGAGTGATCCTCGTGTTGGTGCCAGGAGAGCCTCCAAGGTGGGGAAACTGAGGCTTAAAAAAGGACGTTGGCCAAGGTCACCAAGCAGGTCCAAGCACAGATCTGCTCTGCAGGAGACTCTACCGGCCTGTGACTGACATCAGCAGTTGACTGGATCCCACACGGGATCCTGGATCCTCCCCGGGCCCCTGCCACTCAGCTTGCAGGCAGGAGCCAAGGTCTGTCTCATGTCCCCAGGGGCAGTGAGGAGGAGACAGATGACCCAGGGCCTGCTGGTCACATGGCTGCAGGTTAGACCTTCCAAAGATCTTGAGCATGTGTGCTACGGGGGTGGGAACAAGTGTCTGAGGGGCAGCATGTGCATGTGTTTATCTTATTCTTCGTCCAGGACACTGTGTACATGCGTTTTCAAATCCACATGCCGATGAGTGTGCATGACCACCTACGTGTGCCGGGACTGTGAGCTGGCAGGGAAGGGCATAAGCCAGGAGGCAGGTGTGGACAAGTGTGGAGGCCCTTGAGTAGGGAGTGGCATGTATACGTGGGCACAGATATGTGTGCACATGTACAGTTATGGGATACGGTGACCTTCTGGCCTGGGTGGGCCTCAGCTGGCCTCAGTTTCATTCTTGAAACCCCTGTCTGAACTATCTCCCTGCCCCCTTGGGTCCAATCAGCCGAAGGCCCCAGCGGGAAAGCTGATTGCCACATCCCTGCCCGGCCATGCCCTTCCCAAGCTGATTACATTTTTCTGCTTGTTTCTGCTTTTGTTGATGATTAATCATAGCCCTGACTTGGGCCGGGAGAGAGGGGGCTCCGTGAGAGACACCAGCCCCAGCCACCCTGGGCCAAGGCAGCATTTGGACATGCTCTGAATCTTCACAGGCATATGAAACCTGTCGAGAAGCCAGGCAAACCCCAGCTGTCGTCTGAATGTCTGCCTGAGGCCTCTGGACCAGCTTGCTGCCTGTACAGACCTGGGGTTGGAGTTTTAAGAACTCCCAGAAAAGCCCCCCAAAGCTCTTCTTGACCACACACCAAGTCAGCTGGGTCCTTACGACCCCTTAGGATTTCTGATGAAGCAGAACTGCGGCGTAGGAAGAATCAGCCACCGACCCAACAGACATTGCATCTGCTCTTGCATCTAACACCTTCCTTCGATGGGACGTTACTCATGTCCCTTAACTTCCCAGGGCCTCAGTTTCCCCACATGTGAGGTAAATGATACTGCTCAGGCAGGGAAGAAAAAGAAGTGATCTAACATGCATGGCTCTTGACATCCTGGGATCTCTTAGGGTTTCCTGTAGGCACAAAAATCCCCCCATGGGAATACAAACTACTAATCATAGTGTCAAGTATTGATCGAGGGGTGATCTGTAAGCACCTCACTTGCTAAGCCTTCCCAGACAGTTTGCCAAGTGAGCTGCTGACAGACTAGCAGGAAGCACACCTCTTGGTTCTTTCTTGGGAGGCTGCCACAGTGGGACAAGGCAGCTCCCTCTGGTTCCCTGAAGCCCCTGGCCTTGCCACCCGGTCAGGGAAAATCTCAAAAGAAGGGGCAGAAAGGAATGAAGAACAAATCAAGTGGGCATCTTCCATACAGCCAGGCCCTGCGAGTCTATGCTGAAGGTGCAGGTGTCCATGGATACAGGGACTGGTCCCCAGACACTGACCTTGGTCTGCTTCCAAGGGGTCAAGCTGTCTACATCCTCCAGGTCAGAGTGGCAGTCAACTCTGGGATGATGGCTTTAGCCTCATAGTGTACAATGCCCTCCTGGGCAATCTTGGACATTTCAGTCCCCTGGTATCTCAAGCTGGTCCCTCCAGTCTTCCCTGATGCAAAGCCACAGCCCAGAACATTCTACTCGCTGACCCAGAGGGCTGCCCTTTCTGTACTAGTACCTGTACCTGCTCCCCTTTGCCTGCTAGGTGGGGCCATAGGGCATAGCTGGGCTATGCATGCATATCGCCTGGTCCCTCTCCTCAATGCCTTGCTTTCATTTGCAGGCAGGGAGGGACATGCCTGCTGAGGGAGCTATAGAGACCAAATCCAGCTGTACAGCCTTCTGAAGCAGAGCTGGAGATGAACCCTAAGGCAGGGGCAGGGGCTCCTGAGGCCAAGCTCTGGCGTGTGCTGGCTCTTCCTGCTCTTCTAGACTCTGGGAACCTGGCTGCTTCTGGGAAGCACTGTCAACCTCCTCCACCCTCCAGTGCTGTGTGTGACATTCAATGGACAGCCCCCATGCGCCAGCCCCTGCATTCAATGCCAGCATGAAGACACTGCTTGTGCCTAGGGCCCACAGAGCAAGGGCCACGGGGCTGCAGGGTGTGACTGAGACCAAAGTCCTGCTGTCTGATGTCAGTGGGGCCAAGCTTTTACAGAGGGACATGGAGGCAGGACTTCGAAAATCTCAGGGCATGGGATCAGGAAACATGATGTGATGAACAGTCAGAACTCCAGAAGCCAGACCTCACCAGTAGGGTCCTACTGAGCCTCAGTTTTCCCATCTATTAGGTGGGAATGCATATAATGCAGAACAGTAAGGCTCTGATTTCATCAAGTCAGGAGAAGTCTGTTGTGGAGTGAAGAGGTTAAAGATGTGAAGATCACTCTTAGCTTTAGAAAGCAGGCTCTGGGGGCCGGGGAGATGGCTCAGCAGTTGAGAGCACTGTCTGCTCTTCCAGGGGAGCCAGGTTAAATTCCCAGCACCCACGTGGCCGCTCACATCTGTCTGTAACTCCAGTTCCAGGGGATCCTGTGGTGATATTTTGTTCGTGTTCTAACAAATAAAGCTTGCCTGGAGATCAGAGTGAGAAGCTAGCCACTAGTTAACCATAGAGACCAGGCAGTGGTGGCACATGCCTTTAATCCCAGCACTAGGGAGGAGAAAACAGGAAATGGTGGCAGGGAAGAAAGGAATATAAGGTGAACAAAGACAGAGCTTGGTCCTTTGGTTTGAGGATCCAGTAGAGATAAGGAGTCTCTCAGGTGACTGTTGTTCCTTTCTCATTAGCATTTAGAAAATTCAAAGTTAATAAAGCATTATGCAATCTATTGCTGGGGTTTATTAAACATATCTTTTAGAGGTCAATTTGCTTTTTCTATAACTGCTCTCCCTCTAGGAGTGTGTAGTAGTCCTGTAATGTGCTTTATATTGTAACACTCACACAGACACATGTGCAGGCAAAACACCAATGCACATAAAGAAATTATGAGAAAGGCAGGTTCTGAGTCCTCACCCCTCAGGCTCCCCATGTGTGGGCTGGACTTGGGCAGAGGACCGGAAACCCTGTGAAATGAGTGTGAGAATGAATGAATGTCTGACAGTCACCCAGCTGCCCTGTCCTCTCTGTACATCAAGGGAGCAGACGGTGCAATCCCAGGGTGTGAATTATGTCTGTCGCTCCCCATCTGGGGAAGGAGATACTGCCATCACACTGCGCTCCTTGGGTGCCCACTGGGAGATGAATGGGCCTCAGACCTTCTCAAGGGGATCTCATGAATCTTAGGGCTTATCCTTGGCAAAACGAATGGGGGGGGGCAAGCAGTGGTGGTGCACACCTTTAATCCCAGCACTTAGGAGACAGAGGCAGGCCGATCTCAGTGAGTTTCAGGCCAGCCTGGTCTACAAAGCGAGTTCCAGGACAGTTAGGACTGTTACACAGAGAAACCCTGTCTCAACTCTCTCTCTCTCTCTCTCTCTCTCTCTCTCTCTC